TAAGCCAGAAAACGTACGTAGTTTTGAATTACAACTGTCGCCTTTGTTACGTGCGTAGAGGTCACTCGCTGGTTATAAAGCATCCGCCAAAAGGTTTATTAACGTGCACCCATCGAGGATCTTGATAAGGCTTGATCAATTTCATGTCACATGCATGATCAATGATCATCATCAATTAGTTTATTTTCGACTGTTTTTCGTGAGTAAAAAATAAAATAAAAATCATTCTTACTGAGAGCAAATTCAGTTTATCTTATTATTTTGAAACCTTTAGTTACAACGCAATGGTTTCTCCTCTAATTTCTTTAAACTCATATAACACAGAACTCAAACACGTGTTTGCAAGGAGCCCCTAAACGTAACGGCATCAATGGACATAATAGGTTACCAGGCCGCGACGGCCAAGATGGGGCGAAAGGTGAAAAGGGCGTGACAGGCCCCCCTGGATCACGTGGTGGGAAGGGAGAAAGAGGACCAAGTGGAACAGACACTGATCACTGGAACTGGAAACAGTGCGCGTGGAAGAGTAGCGATAGCCGTGATATTGGACTGATCAAGGTTTGTTGATTTCACAGAGATCAATGCTTTTGAAAGCCCTCTGGGCGAAAAGAACGTTTAACACTAAGTGAACTTGGTTTTTTTCCGTTACTGTGTCATGTGGTTCTTTTAGACAAATCCTTAGTTTGCGTGTCTACCAAGGATAGCACATACATCTATTTCTAAGTCTGTTCTCTTTTGAACAGACATAGAAATAATCGTTGTTTCTATTGCTGCAGGATTGTCAGTTCACTAAAACCAATGATGACACTGCTCTCCATGTTGTTTACCAAGGAAAAGTAAACGTGGGAGGTTGTAACGACTGCTGCAAGCGATGGTTCATCACTTTCAATGGAGCCGAGTGCACTGGTCCCCTGCCTATTGACGTAGTGCTGTGGATCCGAAATAAGGACGAAGCCAACCACAGACCAGGGTTCATTGAGGGCTACTGTAACAACATACACAAGAGCAAAATCCGAGTTGCAATCAACATTGGAAATTGTGCAGGATATGGAAATTCTGATGGTAACACAGGCTGGAATTCAGTGTCCCGTTTGATCATTGAAGAAGTTCCTCGGTCCCAGTAACAAGTTGGCAACCGTCACGTGGTTATTAGTTATGACGCTTAAAGATTCTCCAGATAAGTGATTTCAAAGTGGAAAAGAACTAAGAATTAAGGATTTTATGACATTTGCATGTAAAGCAGTTCAATTTAAATGCCACACTAAACTCAGCACGTGACTACTGGTGAATGAAAATGTTATTTTTGCATAACCAGCCATCCTCAAGATTAAGCTCCATCCATCCTCAGGGCGATCAAATATGTACTCATCCTTAAGGTTATTAAATATGCGCCCTTCTTTAACCACGCTCCTTCTCACAGAACTTGACTCTTGAGAACTGTGACTCTTGTGGTACGTTAAAGAACCCAGAGGGATGCAACAAGCTCTGTCAGTTGCCCGGCCTAGTGTATATGTTATTGTCATGGGGTTGTGGGCAAGGGTATAGAGGATTACCTTGCATGAGAAACATGATTAGCATTCAATCGGTTAATGGTTTAAGTTATGCGTGATCGCATAGCCTGTTATAAACACCAAAAGGGTGATGCAAACCCGCGACGGACTCTCATGCAAACACGCCTCTCAGCCAATCAGAGCACGCGTATAAATGGATATATATACTCCTTGAGATACAGCGAAAAGGTTGCGAGGTAAGGCCTTGGACATAAACTGCAAACCGGTCAACTGAACTCATACTTGCCTTTTACTAAACAAAGCGAAAAAAAATAAAACACTGCGTATTTATCGTGAAGGATCGTCTGGTCATGACTAAATACCAGGAAAATTTCATAGTAATTATTTTAAAAACTGTAACTTGACCTTTGTTTTTCTTCAAAGTTGGTTAACCAAAAGCAAGCCTTTGGTTTTTTTTTTTAAACTCCCCACTCTTTCTCGATAACTGAGGCTACTAATTTCACATGGTTTCTGGAGAAGTACAGGAACGGTCTTCAATATACTCTTCAATCGGCCTTGTAATTAATTTCCATTATTTATAACGAATGTGTTGTATTAACAATCCTGGTTCATCCAATCGCGCAGTGCAGGGTATTGATGAATTGCATTGATATATGATTTCTGACCATTTTTCCACCAACTGAAATTCTTCAAGGGGCTATTTTCCCATTTTAATTTGTAAAAAAGGCGAAAACTAATCTCGTACTCAGGTCTTTCAGCATAAGACAGAGTGAGACCTGAGTACGAGATAAGGCACACACTGTTTTCAATAACAGGAGTTCTTATTCTCTCCAGCTGCTCGATGTCCTGATCACGTAAACTGCGAGGCTTCTGAAGGAGGAAATGAGAAGAAAGGCGCCCGAGGAAAAGGGACGCTCTTTATGTACCTGCGCGCATCAATTCCCACAGTTCCCTTCCCTCCTAACGCCTTCCACGTGCACGTAGGCAAAAAATCACGTTAAACTAGGGGCTAGTTAACCAACACCTGATTCGCTAGACATGTAAAAAATGGTTGGAATATTGCGTGTAATGTTTTATCGCCAACAAAAACGATCAAAATACCCAAAATTAAACACTGTTGTCAATAAAAAACACAGTTCTTCCGCTCTTTTGGTGGATGATGTCTTAGTAGATTACTGAATAAGTCGACCAAAAAAATACTAGATGTTAACTTTAGCGTTTGAGTCAGTAATCCATTATTCTCTTTCCTGAAAACGTGCGTCGGCTATCAACGTGCGTCAGCTCAGCTTAAGTCAAACTTTTGAGCCATGCGCATGGTGTTATAATAACTCGGCCTCTTCCACCTCGGTTAAAGGAAGATTAAGAGATTAAGCTGTGATCAAGTTACCGTATGTGTTTCTCTTCACAACTCGTAGCTTTCGTTGAAATCGACCGATACAAACATTGAATTTATGTTCTCATCTTCCACTGCACTCAATACAGAACCCCAAGACTTGTGTTAGAGTTTGAGGTCTGTTTTCCCAGTTTCCACTTCTCTTTCGTCTCTCTTGTAACCTCCAAATGGAAGTAAGAGGTGTTGTGGGATGCTTTCTATTCTATCTGTTGATATCTTCCAAGTACTCAACTGATAACGCATCCTCTATCGCCAAGGTAAGACTAGTAAAATAGTAATTGAGAAAAATTCGACTGAATTATACATTTGCATTAAACTGTACAAACTTCCCACTGTTTCAGCGGAGTATAGAGAGCCTGAGTTGTATGGAGTCGAAAGAAATAGTGCTTCTTTCCTTTTTTTAGATATGATTTAAATCATTGATTATTTATCAGATTAACCAAGAATGTTTACCCCACTTTAATTTTTTCATGTTCCAACATACGTAGATAGAGATAAAGATAAGTCTTCCGCTGTAATTTTTCTCTTGATCATGAACAGATTCGCGAACGCTAGTGCTACGAGCGCAAAGCACGATATTCTCACGATCCACGATCACTACCCTCCACAAAGGAGTTTATTGAAGATGAACCCTTGGAGTGATTCGATTGCAGGACTATGATAACCTCGACAGCATTGTAAATAAGGCTCATGATCGGTTATGTGTTTTAAGGGGACAACTGGCAAGTTATTGTTGCTCGAAATATCAAAAAGGCTTAACTTTTCATCAGTAGGATGCCTTAAATGTGTGCACATCTCAGTTTTTTTTGTTTTGTTTTTTTAAGTTTTCGGGATCATTCCTTTATTAAAACTGATGTGAACAGAACTCTAGAACCTGTTTACAAGGACCACCAGGCCTTCCTGGACGTAACGGAGTCAATGGGCATAATGGGTTACCAGGCCGCGACAGACGAGATGGAGCTAAAGGTGAGAGGGGCGTGGCAGGTCCCCCTGGATCACGTGG